TAGGAGAGGGAGAAGCAGGCTTCCCGCCGAGCAGGGAGCCCGACGTGGGGCTTGATCCCAGGACCCTGGAATCACGACACGAGCCGAAGGCAGCCACCCAACCGACTGAGCCACCCAGATGCCCCTACAGCCCCCTCTTTTGAAAAAAGCCAGTCACCACATCTTCTGATTCTTCTTTCAAAAACATTTCTCACCCACACTTTCTGCTTCATATTCAGTGTCCCTTTCCTGGTTTAGGCTTTCATTATCTCACACCTGCATCATCTTCAATAACCTGTTTATTGGTCTCCCTGATTCGAGTTTCTTTTATCTTCAATTCATCCTACACACTGACCAGGATGATTGTTCCTGCAACTGTCTAGCAAGTATTCAAACACTCGGCAACCTCCCTGAGCTGATATCCAAAACCCTCTATGCACCGGCCCCACCCTCCCTAACCAACTTTATCTCACCTGATCTCAAATGTGAATTTCCCCCTTCAAAAAGGTCAGGTTCCTTCCGCTCTTTAAAAGCCCAATTTCATTTCTGACTTTGCACCTTTGCTCAGGGTACCTTACCTATCAGAATACCCTCAGGCTTCTCTTCACATACCTCTCTTTCCTCACTTCAAGTTCTCAAACTTCTGTGTGCACAAGAATCACCTGGGGCACTTGTTAAATATGGACATTCTGATCCAGGGGAATCTGTCTTTTTGTGTAGTACTAACGTGATTCCTAGACCAGATTCCACTTTGAGAAATGCTGTTAAGACCTGACTTAAGTGTCAACTCATCCATGAACATTTCCTTTATTACTGCAGCCCTCAAAACCTGTAGCATTTACAATCTGCTTGACTTGTAGGCACCTACGTGACCAATTTATAAATATCGAACTTAGAAGCAACCAGCATGTTGCCTAGTAAACAAGGACTTCAAATAGAAAATTTTGGTTTTGGGCCCTGTTGTCTGTGAGAGGAACTTCCTGAAGTTTCCCAAATCAGAAATGTGAGGAGCAAAGATTTTGTTTATTTATTTATGTATTTATGTATTTATTTATTTATTTGACACAGAGAGAGAGAAAGAGAGAGACAGATCCTTGCTGAGCTTTTCATAACATTGATTTTCTTTTTAAAGAATCCAGGCCATTGTCTTGCAGACAGTCTCACACAGTCTGGATTGTCTGTTTCTTCAAGGTTAGATTCTGGAAGAACATTTTTTGGCCAGAGCCCTACACAGAGGATATATTCCATCACTAATTGCAGATGCTTGCTGGTGATGCCTACAGTATGAATCAGTAAGTACTTACGGAAGGAGTGACCCAGCACCAGCACTAGGGAGCTTGACTTCAAATAGAAGAGCAAAGGGTTGGGGCGCCTGGGTGTCTCAGTCAGTTAAGCGTCTGCCTTCGGCTCAGGTCATGATCCCAGGGGTCCTGGGATCGAGCCCTGCATCTGGATCCTTGTTCTTTGGGGAGCTTGCTTCTCC